CCGTGTGGCACCTGACGAACAGACAGCTAGCATCGAGTGAGAATCTGTTGGATGCTTCTGCCGTCGCTAATCGCCATGGTGACGCAGAACAACACGCTGTGGTGTCTTCCCCAGTAGGCCTACAGTGGTACGGGAGATTTTGTTCAGGGAGTTCCTAATGCTCTAATTACTTCATGGAAAACATGGTGGTAGACGGCGCTTTTTAGAGGAGGCATTCTAGAGATCATACACAATGCTATGAAACTAACAATAATGAAGGCCAAAATTGTGCATTGGCGATTATATGATTTTGAGGAATTTTAGCTAAACATTAATTTACATAGGCCCAAGGGTGAGCATTACGTGATTCCGCATAGATATACCACCACACAACACAATCAAACTGTGAACCCATACCTAGCCTATAAGTACAATGGAAAGGTGACGGTGTAACCGTAGGTAAAGGGGTAAAGGTAAAAAGAGTGGTAGGCCCTATATCGTTAGGGTTAGTATAATAGCCTCTTATTATTATCACTATAAGAAAGTATATAAACTTACCATCAATTTCCTAACCCATTTCCATGGGTTAGGGTTAGTGTTAGGGTTAACTTAGATATCACCAACAGCTAATAATACCTAATAAAGGTATTATTAGCTCTTGATATCACTAAAGTAATAAACACTTTGTGTTGTCTATATATAATCTTACCATCTAAATTTACTTGTAAAACTGTGCTAATTTTAATGTTAAATTCTTTTGTTTGATTTGTTGTGAAACATATGCGCCATTTATTTGCAATATATACAGTTAAATATCTAGCTCTAGTTTCGCACTTCATTTTTGTTTCTTCTACTCTGTGGGGAGAATAAAACAAAAGTTGAATCCTGACGTTCAGTGTTGCACCGTTGAAAACTGACGTTGTTGCATTGTTGAAAACTGGCGTTGTTGCATTGTTGAAAACTGACGTTGTTGCATTGTTGAAAACTGACGTTGTTGCATTGTTGAAAACTGACGTTGTTGCATTGTTGAAAACTGACCTTTTCAACAACAAATACAACACGTTTCACCGCTGTTTCAACGTTTACTTCTGACGTAGTTGCACCATTGAAAAAGTTCTGCCATTGTTGTAAGATTGTTGTGCATCTTGTAAGATCTTGCAATCTTGTAAGATTGTTAATACATTTTTACCTCGCGTTTCTGAACGACAACCGATGAGTCATTATACGTTTGCTATGTCCACTGCCATTCACAGCTTTCAACGCATCACCCGCCGTTGGTCAGGTAGGCCTATAGTATCGTGCATGCCTGACGCGACACTGCGATCAAGTGTCCCATCTTATCCGGTCTTTGCTGGGGCCCTCGGGCGCCCACCCGCTCCGACCGCCACCACGCCGAGGGGGGTATCTAGATCTCGGCTACTGCCCTTTATCGAGATGTGTGCCGGTCACACGGAAGTGTGTGTGCCCCGTGCGTGTGTCTGTGCGTGCGTGCGTGTGTGTGTGTTGTACGACGTGCTCCGGTGTCCAGTGTGTCTGCTGCGTGCTGCGTTGCGCCCGTGAGCGGCGTCAGCCTGCTGCGTGTGTGTGTGTGAGCGGAGGCTACTGTTCCTGCCAATATGGATGCCCTCTTGGTCGTGAACGGTGCAAGCATAGCGATCGAGCTTTCTCCGAGGTGTGTTATATCATCATTTCGTCTACTTCTCCCTCCGCCATGCGAGCAAATTAACGGATCAGAGAGAGACGGTACAGGCTCGTACTACGTACACGTACCGCCTCATAATATCTAAGCCCATATCTATCCATATCTATCCCCAGCCCATATCGAAGTAAGACGACGAGACAAGAACATGGCCATAATTTACGTGCCTGTCAACGAATGCGGTCTCTGTAACTTCGACTATTAGTTCTAATTATATTATCCACATGCATGCGCCCCATACTACTGTTGTATTGTACATTGTGCGTTGTAATTAACCAGTATAGCGCTTCTAGTCAGGCGAGACAGTGGGACTAATTGTCCTGTTCGTTGTTGTTTTTGTAATGACACGGGACGTAGGGCGCGATATATATGCGGTTTAACGAAAAACCGGTCGGATTCAAATGTCGTCGAGCTGTTTTAAGAAGCGACTCGCGCTCGGACGGACAGAACTAGATAGAGAGTTAGAGAGAACCTACCCAGGAGACGTAGAGGGAGTTATCACGTGAGTCTTATACGATGTAGAGAGCCAGAGAGGAGTGTCGCCAGGCGGATTCCAATATGGACAAAACTTCGGCTGTCGTATTTATGGTACGTATGTATTTATTTTGTATGTGTTACTAATAAAGTATTAAGTTCAACATCGAATCTGGGACTACGTTTACTAGCTCTACTGGTGGTTACGAAACAACGCTGCTACCTTCTACGCTGTCGAAGCTACAGATCCTACACGGAGATAATCAACACTTTCGCATTACAATAATTGGTGGGGGATGCGGGCATTACAATACTACTCTACTCTACTCTGCTCGTACGTCTACTCTTTGTTTATAAGCCTAGCGCAGACTTGGGATTTTTGGTTGCTCGGTAAACGCTGTAAACCTGTTAACCTACAATCCTGTAACCGCAAGCGATCGGTCGATGTGTCACCGCGTGCGCGGCACACATGTAATTTCGAAGCAAAGCTAGAGCAATTTGGGAGCGATTGAGAGCGACGAGTCGCTCAAAATCAAAACAGTTTGATTTCTTGCAACTCGTCGCAAGCAACCAGAATCGCTGCAGCCTAGCGCAGACCAACGATTTTTTCATGCAACTTTACATACGATCGCTATACATCTGCGGGAACGTGCAACTGCAACCCGTAGCGATTCTGGTCGCTTGCGACGAGTTGCAAGAAATCAAACTGGTTTGAGTTTGAGCGAGGCTATGTTACTATGCACACCGTCTTATATTATCCACATCCGCCCCATATCGAAGTAACGCGACGAGACAAGAACATGGCGATAATTTACGTGAGTGTTAACGAATGCGCTCTCTGTAACTTCAATTATTAGTTTCGGCCCGAATTCACAACTCTACTCTCTTTTTTATGCCACTAACCACACCGCCTTATAATATCCACATAGATGACGATCTCTCTCCCCCCTCTCTCTCTCCCCCTCTCTATCTCTTCTGTTTTCTAGCCCTTTTCTGCTCTCTGCTTGGCACTATAGCTGCTTTTAACAAGAGCCACCACGCGAGCGCCTTGCCCAAGATGGCATCACTTAATTAATGATTATAAGAGAGAGAAAGAGACCGAGAGAGGCAGCAAGCGAGGGAGACCGAGAGAGAGAGAGAGAGAGAGAGAGAGCGAGGGAGAGAGAGAGAGAGAGAGAGAGAGAGAGAGAGAGTAGAGAGAGATATAGAGAGAGAGAGAGAGAGAGAGAGAGAGAGAGCAGAAGATAAGTGTGTGTAGTGTGTTTATAGTGCGTGCGTGCGGCGTGTGTCCGTGCTGCGATAGAGAGAGAGAGAGAAGCAAGAGAGGTGAAGAGAGAGTATGAGAAGAGAAAGAAGAGAGAAATAGAGAGTGTGTGTGTGCGTGTGCGTGCGTGCGTTGCGTGCGTGCGTTGCGTGGCGTATGTATGTGTGCGTGCGTACGTGCGTGCGTGCGTATCGTATGATGTGCGTGCGTGCGTGCGTAAGTATGTGTGCGATGCGTGCGTCACCATCATGATGTGATTGCACCCTAGCGCGCTGGATACTCGGCTATATCCATGCAATGTGTTTTATATATTGTAGCGTTTTTCGCTGTCTCACTGCGAGCGAGCGGCTAATGGACAAGGGGCAGGTAAGTTGACAACACTATCTATGTACATCGGCGCGATGACGTCCTGGCCACAGTTGGGCCTTACCGCCGACAAACATTATAAAAACACTCTGTATCACCCTCACGTGTCGTAGCCTACCAGCGACACGCTCCAAAGCCGGTGTATTAGTCAGCAGAGTCCAACGCAATGATTACCTTGTCACTTACTCGAATGTCCCCAATACCAGACGACGGAACCACAACCAATCAACCGACGACAACAAGCGCGTTAACCGTCTGCTCCGCCCTCTGAACGTCAGACGTGTCCCAGTACAATATTAATTCACTCACATTTGTTTCCTGAGGAATTCACGCATCAAACGAGTTCAGGAGTTTTCATTTTGACTCCGCCATACTGCTCTATTTCTATAATAGAATTTATGGGAACTACGTCTAAACGTAAGACTGTGAAGTACTTGTGGACGCGTTACTACTAACAGACACGTTTCGAACAATCTCTCCAACTACGCCAACGAAGCGTATTTTGGTAAAAGTTATCTATGCTTCATAATCATTAACACGTGCTAATAAATAATAAGTATCTGAAATGCTGTTCCATGGTCGAAACAAGCATTAGAAAATACACTAGAGATCTCTATTATTACACTCCTGATATAATTATAACGCAGGCGTTGTTGGAAAAAAAATAATTTCCTGTCGAGTAATATCTTGATTAAGTCAAGTAACTATTTAACACTATCTCGCATTTGTCGCACAATGCGCGGCTGAAAAGATGAAGCTTACTGTCAAGCACAAGTATGACAAAGCTTACGTGACTTCTAATGTGGATATACTAGGTGCATGTGAGTATGGTTTTGATATGTGTAAAAGAATTGGGAAATATTTGCAATTAAGCCAAATACGTCCAACAAAAATTGTGTATTTTAGAAACATCGTTCCGATCGTTTTATACACGCGCATACACACGCACTGACAGATACGCGCATACGCACGAGCGTCGCACGCACGGCCACATACGCGCATGGTGCACGCGTAATACAACGATCCGCATGGATCCAACGGCGCATTACAACATACATACGCGCTGGATGCACGCGTATACACACATACGCGCATGGATGCAACGCACATACAACACATAACGCGCATGAATGCAACGCGTAACACACATACGCGGCATAGATGCACCCGCGCATACACACTACCGCGAACGGAATGCACGCGCATACACACACATTGTCTACACAGACGCATGAATGCACGCGTATACCCATACGCGCATGGGATGCACGCGCATACACCATACGCCGCATAGGATGCACGCGCACTACCATAGTACGGCGCATGGATGCACGCGCGATACACACAGAATACGCGCATGGATTAGCAGTGCGCGACGGATACACACATACGCGCATGGCATGCACTCGCGCATACACACATTTACGACGCATGAAATGCCAGCGCATACACACATACGCGCAATAGGATCACGCGCATAGAACACACATACGCGCCAATGAAATGCAACGCGTATACATAACAAATACGGGCATAGAACCCCACGCGCATACACACATACGACGCATGGGATGCAGCGATACACACATACCGCAATCCGGGAGTGGCGACCCGCGCATCACACGGAGCCCACCCCAACCACCCCGGCAGCGACCCGCCGCCACCGGCCGCAGCCCCGGGACGCCCGCGGGGCGCGGCCCCGAGCCGCGGCGGGCCCCGACCACACGCCACGTAGGATAGGCAGAGGCCCGCCACACGACCACGCGCCGCCACCCAACGAGCGTCCACGGCGCCTGGACGCGCCGAGCGGCCAGCTCGACCCAGCGCCGCATGATGGCGCGCACGCGCGGCGCGCGAGTAGCGCCCGGCGGAGCGACGAGGCGAGCGCCGACCGCATCGGGACGAGATCCCAGCCACCCCGCGGAGCCCGGCAATGGCCGACCCAACACGGCGCACCTACGACCGCCGCAGAGCGTGGGACAGCGTGCGAGGCACGCGACACTCGAGCCACGGCGCACCCAGCCGCGCATGACACCAGGCCGGCGCACGGGGCGAAGGTATCGCACGCGCGAAGATCCCGCACACGCGCGCGCGAGCCGCAAGCGGGTCGGGACATCACGGCCAGCGCCACAGGCCCCCATGCGACGGGGCGCCGGCGAGAGCCATAAGCACACATCACCACGCGACAGGCACACACACCACCTTACCCATGGATGACAGCGCGCATACACAACACAGAGAACACGGCACGCGCATGGATCCACGCGGCATACACACATACAGGCGCGATAGACGCACACGCGCTATAGCCACATACGCGTGTCGCGATGATGCAGCGCATGACGACACATACGGCATGGATGCACGCACATACACATACGCGGGCAGCATGAGATGAGCACGCGCTATTACACACATACGCACATGGATGCAGCGCGCATGCACACATAGCGCATGGATGCACGCGCATGGATGCAAGCGCGTAATACACAGCATACGGCAATGGATACGCGCATGCACACATACGCGCATGATGCACCTATCACTATACCCATGAATGCCGCGCACTACACACATACGCGCATGGATCCAGCGCGTATACACACATACGCGCATAGATGCAACGCGTGATACACATTACGCCGCATGAATCACGCGCATCACACACAATCGCGCATGGGATGCACGCGTATACCCACATAAACGCCGCATAGGATGGCACGCGATCAGCCATATACCGCATAGAAGTGCAACGCGACGATAACACACATAACGTGCATGGATGGCACGCGCATGGATGCAAGCGCAGTATAACACACGAATACGGCCATGAGATGCAACCACGCATGACACACCA